TGTGCTCTGTTTTTTGTCCTATGTGTAGTCCTCCATGTCTTATTATCATAGATGGAAATTAGCATTATGTTTATATAGAACAACCATATATACAAATGTTGAATAAAGACTGTTGTTGTTTTTAAAGTGGAAGTACAAAAAGGATGTCACTTGAAGAATTAATTTACAGTTAACTTTCTGATCATGGTGTGGGAGGGGAGCCTGGGTCAGGGGCTTCACTCTTTTCAAGGATAGGCTTTGTATAAGGGACATCATATTGCTGCATAATCTCCACCTGCTAGTGCGGAGAAATCCCTGGGGCAGTGCTATCCAGATATGGCTTCTCTTGGAGGAAACACTACTGAAGACGCTGAGGGTTTTTTTTTAATAACAGATGGTAATTGATATAGATGGAGACAAGTAGAATGTGGGCTTCTGACAGACACTAGCAATGCTACCCGAAATGAGAACAAGAAAGAAGATATTCAGTCGCACTTTAATATGCTTCCATCATTCACCTAACCTAATATTTGTGGTTCTGAGTATCATGCTCAAACTGCTGTTTCTTTGTACTTTTTAGTCCACAAAAGCTTGTTATAATAAATCTTACATTCTAAGTTTTAAAAGTTTCACAAGATTCTTTGTTGGTTTTGTTGAGTGACATGTGTTGGTGACTCTCAGCTAATGAATGTGATACATTTCAGACTCTGGTAGCTTTCCCATCCAGAACATCCCAGAGAGCGTTCTTTATCACACAGATGGAGGTTGAAACTACACCAGTGCAATGAACCAGGGCAAGTGTAGTTGCTGCGTGTTATCTGCAGACAGGTGCATTGCCACTTGTAACACACAAACAGGTTCCAGCATTTATGTTCTTAGATTCAACCCAACAGATTGAGAGACATGGCGGGAGATACTACAGTGTGAGTGGGTGAGCAAACTGTCACCGTAGATGTGTCAGGGACTGAGCACAGCATCATGTGATGTGAACATTGGGTTCCCCACCCATCTGTTTTTTTAAGGTGTTTAGGTGCACATGCAGATGTTCAGTCACCACATACCTCCCTTTGCCCTAAGCCTGTGTTGTTGACTGTACATTCAACTAGATTAAAATTAATAAATGAATTTAGGATGAGGCACAGCACCCTCTTTCCAACCCTAGCAGAAACCATGTATATACCCCACAAGAGACAAGGAGGCCATTCTCCTCGCAGCTATTTCCATTATTCGTTTTTACAGAAATACTTTTTAAAAAAATACCAAATCTGATTCTGATCTTTCCTTTTTTAGGCCACATTGTAGGAAAATCATTTTGTAAAACTATAAAATGTCTAAATCTTCAGATGTGCAATTTGAAATACAGGTTAGAAAAAAGGGGATCAGCCCTTTGTATTTATGAGTAGAGGCTCAAAGGAGGGGGAAATTCAAAGACACAGCAGGAGAAAGTGACATATAGGGCAGTTGAAGGGGGAGCAAGGGGCACCTGGATAATGGAGGATGAGGAAGGAGTGGGCAGACAATCGACAGAAAAAAGCAGGTGGCCATGCACCTCTTAAAAACATGGTGTATCTGTAAAAACCAGAGCAGGGGGAAAATGGGACACTCTTTTCTGGTGAGTATGGTTTCTGCCAGAGAGTTCTTGGGCTGCATTGGACCTTCAGCTGAATCATGATAAATCTCCCCCACCCACCCACATGTACTTTTTCATCATTAGGGTATTAGGTCCCCACTCCCCCCCCCCCCGTCTTTCC